AGGGAGGTGGGGGAGTATTATGGGGTGGGTGATTATAAGGGACTTGTGGAGGAGTGGATGGAGAAGGAGGGGAGAAGGAAGTGAGGTGTGAGATGGTATGTAGTCTTACCTTGGTAGTGAAGGCAACGTTCAACTTGTGGAATAGCCATCTGCTCAGAACATACTCGGCTACCATGGTATCTGGATCTTAAGAATCTGGTACCTCCAAATGGTCAATTGGTCAGAAAGAATCTCTTCCAATATCTTTCAGGAATTCGAGGTCTCCACTTGGCAGCTTGAATTCCGGGTTATTCACGTGACTCGCCTCATAGTTGAGGTTGACGGCGTTCCAGTTGGGCTGGATCAATATCAAGGTTTTCATTCCGAAATAAGTGACGTATTGAAAACCAGTGCCGCACTATGCTAAGAGCCTGTGAGAAGAGGCAGTTTCCCTGTGTGTGCGTCCCTTCGCTGAACTTTGCTGCATCGAATTTAGAAGTTGGGATTTTGTAGCTCCGGATTCTTAACGCCGATCCCCCCCTTCGACCTTAGCCTTAAACTCCTAAAGATACCGGTGCCGACGACTAGCCCGACCGAGATCCGAGCCCGACTCACGTGTGGCACCGACCGACACCTCACACCTGCACCAGCCACCGCTTATTATAGGCTCCCAGTTCCCAACCTCCTCCACTGATCCCAATCCCCCAAGGCCTGCAACACATCTTCTCCCCACTATGCAATGATTGCGATTCTGAATCGCTTCAACCACTTTGCCCACTGTTGCTCTCCTTTTTGCTTATCCCCGTCGCTGAATACCACTCACCTCGCTCCTTGCGACACGAACACACCCTCCACCTTCAACTTCATCCCGAATCGACGCGTGGTGGACGAACTTTGCGACCGCCTGCCCTGATTTTTCGCGGACCGACCTCATCATAAACAACACACCGACGCGCCTTCAATTTGCACCCAATCCCCATCGACGACACGACCACACCCTCTCGCCATTTGGCGCATCAGCATTTTGCATAGCTCTAGCGATCCTTTCATCTTATCGTCAATATGTTCTATTCGGAAACCCTCCTTTCGAAGACCGGCCCTCTGGCCAGGGTCTGGCTTTCCGCCAATTTGGAGCGCAAGCTGTCTAAGAACCACATTTTACAAGCCAGCGTCAAGGACAGTGTCGAGGCGATAGTAACTCCCAGTCAAGCTCCAATGGCCTTGCGATTGAGCGGTCAGCTTCTGCTAGGAGTGGTTCGAATCTACAGCCGAAAAGCGCGTTATTTACTGGATGACTGCAATGAAGCTCTTATTAAGATCAAGATGGTACGTAATAGCACCACCATCTTTTGTTGCAGTGCTAATATTCGCTCCAGGCTTTCAGACTTTCTGGAAATAACGATATCCCCGCCGGCCTCCATATGCCATCTCGCGACGCGCTCATGCTTCCTGATGTGCTTACCGAAGGAGATAACCTCGAAATGCCTCCTATGCCTGACGCTTCATTCCTCCTAACACAGCTCGATGATGACGCGCAAGCCAGTCGTTGGCGTCGCGCAGGAAGTCGTGATATTAACCTGCAAGAAGATTTCAATGGCAGCCAATTCCTATCAAACAGCATAGAGAATCAAAATGACGAAGATCTATTAGAACCAATTGAGGATCTCGATTTGGGGATTGATTTTGGTATCGACTTTGGAGATATGGAACAAACTAAGGGGGATGAAACCACCATGGAAATTGGTCGAGACGCCCCCGAAGCACGCGCGCCCGAAGATGACCTTCTCAGTGAACTCGACGTGCAACTACCTGCCAAGGATAATGTTGAACCAAGTGTTGAACGTGACACGTCTCTCAATCTTGGTTTTGATGATGACAACGACGCTGTCCGTATTGATGACGATGGCAATGTTGAAATGCAAGATGTCTTTGACTTGCCAGCCGACATTTCCGAGCTTCCCGTAGCACCCACAATTCGACCCGGACGTATTTCAGAATCGCCACTTTCCGATTATGATGAGACTGTCATTCAACAAGGAGAAGCTGAAAATCTCGGAGAACGCAGTCTTTTCGAGCCTGGCGAAACCCCTGAGGCGGAAGTTGCAGCTGCCCCTCAACGAGCCCGAAAGGTCAAGGTTTTGGTACCAGATAACTCTACCCAATTAACCAAAGCCCATATTCGCGCACAGGAAGCAAATCGCGATAAGATTCTTCGACCCCAATCATTCCTTCCACGCGACCCAGAGCTTCTCGCATTGATTGAGATGCAAAGAAATGGAGGATTCGTTTCAAGTGTTATTGGTGATGGACGAAGTTCGGCATGGGCTCCTGAGCTTAGAGGCATGCTTTCACTTGATACTATCAGGAAAAGCAGCGAGCTCAAGCGTAAGCGTGATAGCGGTGTTGCAGATATGGATTTGGACGACGAACAAGGACCACAAAAGTCACCGAGACTTGATCTTGGTGAAGAAGACGAAGAAGTTATGACCGCTGGTTTGAGAGATGTTGGTCTTGGTCGAAATAGTATCTCTGTTGCACCAGATGGAACAATCATTGAGATGGCTGGTGACGAGTCATACAACGCAAACTTGGATGAGGATGACCACAACCAAGGTGCAGGCTTGGAACCAGAGTCACCAGGACCAAACTTTGATGATACCGCAGCACCATTAGTTCACCCAGCTGATAGTGGACCTGTCTCATTAGGCACCAAACACGCTGTTCACCTTCTTCGCGATCGTTTTGGTGCTGAGGCCGCTGATAGTCCTGACAAGCGCAAGAAGGCTAGCGTTCTCTTCCAGGATCTCTTACCTGAACGAACAACAACACGAGCAGATGCTACCAAGATGTTTTTCGAAGTTTTGGTCCTTGCAACAAAAGACGCAGTCAAGGTTGAGCAATCGGAATCTGTACTTGGTGGACCAATTCGCGTAAGAGGCAAGAGAGGTCTCTGGGGTGACTGGGCCGAGACAAGAGCTGGTGGTGAGATTGCTGAGGAAGAAACGGGCCCTTCGCATGGTTTGATGCAATCAACTGCTGTTGCTGCTGCTGCGTAAATATTGGATCTGAAAGGAGCGGAAAAACTGCATTAGTGTATTAGTATGTATTACATATTCAGTTCAACCAGGAAGCCCAGGTACCTGGATCGTGGATAGTGGCGTTAAAGGGGGTAGTTGGCCTTTGTTTTCAGAGGGAGGAAAATTTTGGTGTTGATGGATGGTCGGGCGTTTTAAGGTGTTCCCTTGATATCCCGAGTTCCTTTCCTTCTTTTCCCTTTTCCTTTTTCTTCACATGGATATGATGCTCGTAGTGGTATGGTTTGATTTGGCATCATTACTGAATAGCGAAGCAAGCATTACGAATAAAAATATTTTACAGAAGTTATATCTATTCGCTGTCTCACTTCCTTGATGACTATAGAGTGTTTCGAAGCACTTGGAATGATTCAATAGCCTCTGACTAGTCAAGTAAGTGGATCCTAACAAGTCCTATTCTGCCTTGGAGCCTCAAATAAACCGTACTTTCACAAGCTTCTTTCTTTTACGCCCATTGGTCAATTGCATTCTCCCTTCTGGATAGATGGTAAGACACACTAATCATCGTGCGTAAATAGCTGCATGGATCGGCCGGACGACCAACTTATTCAGCTTATCGCCGACGACCCGACAACACGACGAACAAAACAAAAGGACCTGCCTCACCTTGCATCAAGAAGCAAGACGATGGATTGACACCGAGTTTCTGTCGAAAATCTTTTCTTCAAGATCGTGTGGAAACAAGCATCTCAAGTTCTTTGTCCCATCCTCCCCACGCGCATCACATGCACCCGCTCTCCCTCCTCACCACCCGCTACAAACCAAACCCAGAGAGGAAGAACAAGACGATGGAAAATCCCAAACTCCCAACCTTCCTCGTCCCCTCGCGCAAACTCTACCCTCGCGCCCACGAGACGCAACTCCCCGTCTCACACCTCTCAGTCCGTGGGCCACGAAGGAATTTCCTAATCGCTGCACTAAAGAACTTCCTCCTGTTGCAAGTCCTCTTCCTCGGTCTGTTTGCGTGCATCTTTGGGGCACTGTTTCAGCAGGGCGAAAGAGTGCACTTTTTGGATGTGGCGTTTGTGGATTTTGATGGGGGCGTGGTGGGGGAGAGTGTTAGAGGTGCTTATGAGGGGTTGGGGGGGGAGGGGTTTGTGAATTTGGTTGAGAGGAAGAGTACGGAGGTTGGGG